CCCCAAATTTATAGTCCAAGGCTCCCACTCTTTCGCAATATGGTTGCACGACCTGGCAAACATGGCATTCTCTTGGCCATCCGACTCATCGGCATATCACCTCATTCAGTAGCACCTTAGACTCACGAAAGATAATGGAATCACCCATTTCCTTCGTCGACCATCTGTATCGGGTTCTCGATCTTTGGTGGCATATGAACATCAATCTCTACTTTGACGTGATCTCAGCACTGACATCCAAAATGCACTCGCCACATCCACCCTTTGCCTTGACGTTATGCCATGGCATAGTATGGCCTTAATCATCTCTGATACCAAGTGTCACGGGCCCAAATCCTTACATTGGGTAGCGGCACCTGCTCGCCCGTGCGGCGCCTGCAATTCCCCTCACTGCAGGCTAGCCTTCTTCTCATCCCAGGATTCCCAAGCACGATCCTGTGCCTGTTGGTGGGACTCGCTCGTAGGCTCGCCCCAACTTGTGCCGCCCGTAAGATGCCTAGGCCCTTGGCCCTAGACATGTCGTGGCGCTTTATCTTAGGATCACAATCCATGCGCGCCCTGGGGGATTGGCTTAGGACATGCCTTGTCCTTAGCCCAAGACTGAGCATCGCTCCCGCGTGCACAGCCCAATCCTCAAGCTTGACACTCGCCTAGTGCATCCGTGACTAGCTCGTGCCTCGCCCGAGTAAGGCAACCTTTAGCCCTTGGCCATTGTCATGTGCCTCTTTCGTGCCATGCCCATACATAGCCCACTTGCAGCACGCTTCCATTCCGAAGTAGTGCAGTATCGCCCACACCTGCACCTTTAGGCCAACGGACCCTTGCTTGCATGGTTGAACCAAAGCCATGCTCACAAGTCGACACATGATGCNGCACCTTAGACTCACGAAAGATAATGGAATCACCCATTTCCTTCGTCGACCATCTGTATCGGGTTCTCGATCTTTGGTGGCATATGAACATCAATCTCTACTTTGACGTGATCTCAGCACTGACATCCAAAATGCACTCGCCACATCCACCCTTTGCCTTGACGTTATGCCATGGCATAGTATGGCCTTAATCATCTCTGATACCAAGTGTCACGGGCCCAAATCCTTACATTGGGTAGCGGCACCTGCTCGCCCGTGCGGCGCCTGCAATTCCCCTCACTGCAGGCTAGCCTTCTTCTCATCCCAGGATTCCCAAGCACGATCCTGTGCCTGTTGGTGGGACTCGCTCGTAGGCTCGCCCCAACTTGTGCCGCCCGTAAGATGCCTAGGCCCTTGGCCCTAGACATGTCGTGGCGCTTTATCTNTTCCATCACCACTTTGATGCCCAACGCAGGCCCGAAGGCGTTGCGCCGCCCATAGAGTTTCCCTAACTCGTATGGATGCCTTCGATACTCCTTTTGAGTCATCTAGGCAGGCCCTTGAGGTTGCCCCCAAGGTAGTTCGTTCTATACGGCTCGGTGGCAGCACGCATGTGGGAGGCAGGTCGGAGCTTTCATCACCTATACCCCCCTTATATATGCTTAAAATTAAAAAGCCCAAGTTGCCCGAGTAGACTGCTCTACGTCAGACCATCAGAAGGACCTTGTCTCACCAGTTCTTGGCCTAAATCACAACTCTAAAATGCGAGTTGTGACATCAAGCATCTCTGAGTATATGTTTGCATGGGACAAAAGGCAAGGGTCAATTTTGGAATAAAGAGTAATAACCCAATCTGTCCCCAATAGTTCTTTTCTGTTGTTTGTTTGTTCTTTTATAATTTGTTTAATTACCAAATTTTACTAATAAAATCTTTTTCTTTATTTACCAAGCTCAATCTTGTTCTACACCACGAATATACCTTTAATCTTGCGTTCTTTTCAGAAAGATTTTGGTTACACGTATTTTTTGTGGGCCAATGTGGGCTCCAATGGCGGTTTAACAATAAGAAAGAAGGTGAGGGAGAGGAGACCAATGTGTCTCGGAAGAAGAAAGGGCTTTGACCTATACTGATAATGTATGGCGCATATATAAAATGAAATTTTTACCTAGCTATACTGTATTAAAAAAAAATTTAACTATTTTTCTTTATGTTCCTTAAAAATTAAATTGTGTATCTATATTTACTATTTATATACAAAATCATTATAAAAGAAGGATCCCTTAAATATAGGGATTAATTTGTAACTGTATGCCCCCATCCCCATCTATCATCTTAATTAGCCTCCTACAATCACGATTTTCTTTCCAATTTCAAAAGATTTTAAAGTCATTCCCTCTTTCATACAAATCAACCAATCTCTCTCTCTTTCTCTCTTTCATACAAATCAAACTATTATCTCTCTAAAATTATAGCATCATATATTTCTCTGAATAAATTTCACCAATTGACAAATCCATCGACATTATCTCTGAAATTGCAGGTAGTTTGGTCTGCCATTGACATACCATTAAAAAGTTTTGAAGCTTGAATTAGATATCCGGATTTTACGAATTTGTGATTTCTTTTGATTGGGTGTGATGTGTGGCTATAATTTCATATTTTATTACATTATTTACCTTACGTTTTATGTACTTTAATGTTAAATTACACTTTATTTACGCGTAATGGAGTCTATTTTATGTGTAGGGACAATGAAGATGAAATTAGATCAAAAAGAATATTTAAAGTAATAAGTGTGCTCGAAAATAGTGGAAAGAAGAAAGAATGAATTAAGTAGTGAAAAGATGAAGAAGCTGGCGAGGAAAGCATCTGAGCTCGCGTGGAAGCTGGCGAGGCAAGCTTTGGAGCTCACGTGGGAGCAGGCGACTCGAGGGATAAGGCGATGTCGAGCTCGCGTGGAGGCAGGCGTCGTATGGTCTGGGGCGAGGTGCATCTCGCGTTGTACCTCGCGAGGCACGGTCTGAGGTGAGCCTGATCCGGATTTTGAAGGCTTATTTCGTCTCATGGTTTGACTAGGACTTGGCTTATGTCATTTAGGTCTTTTTCTACACATATAAATAGACATTAAACACCACTTTTGGAGGAGTTTTGCGACCGGAGGCAAGAAAAGCTCGTGGAACACCAGTTGGGAGATAGAATCATCGATTTCTACTTTTTTTCATCTTTACTTTGTAATTTATTTATGCAAAATACTTGGGATATTGTTACTATGAGTAGGAGTAGCTAAACTCCTGATCTAGGAATTTGATGGAACCTATTGGAGGAAGATTTTCCTCTTACGTTAATATAGATTTGCCGTAGTATTTTCTCTATTTGTTCACTACGTTATTATTGTGGTTGGTTGAAGAGCTCTCAATCAACTGTGCCTATTTAGTGTATATTACTCGGAAGAGAGTACATAATTAGGTCGTTGTTGAACAACATCACTCCTAACGTATATGAGGGATCAGTACGGAGGGTTTAAAGGTGGGATTAGGAATAACGAAACCTTGGTGCGATCCGAGTGAGCCGTACTTAGTGCCAGCTAGCGTAATTCAGAAGAATATGTCTAATAAATTATGGTAGTTACTCGGGAGAGAATTACGACACTCAGAGCGCTCATGATCGATAGAGAAAAGTTAGGCAAATTTATAGGAAACGTAGAGAAAATGATTCCGACAATAGGGGAAATCATAACCTTAGATCATTCCAATTATTGGCTACAACTTGTTCGTAGTTAGTTATTAATTACTGCATTTTCATTACGTGATATTTAGTTAGTAAACATCCAACTTGTTATTTAAATATTTTTGAATATTGATTGCGTGAATTTGTGCGAGTCTAGTAGTTGTGCTTAATAGGTTGATTCCCTGTGGGATTCGATTCCAGATTTTTTAACCGGAATATATTTGCAACAACCACTTAGTCTTTTTTATAAGGCATAGTTGGGCGTGATCATGGTGTTCTTGAAAATAATTAAAAATATTCTTTAGGGTTCATATCTCAATTTTAAGGGAGATTGGCTAAGTTTAAAATTGGTTTAAGGTAGAATTTCATATTGAAACTCGAGGAAGAAGAAGTTTCGGAATTGTATTACGATTGTATGATAAATGTATCATAATTGTATCTGAATTGTATTTGATATATCAATAATTCTGATACAATATTAATACTATTATAATACAATATTGTATCATAATTTAAGTTTAGAGTTGGTTTTAGGTGGATGTTTTAGATTGAAACTTGAAAAAGATGAAGATCAAAAGTGTATCATAATTAAGAATTGTATCACAATTGTATCATAATTGTATCACAACATGTACCTAAAATAATACATGATACAATACTAATACAAATATAATACGATATTGTATCAGTTTAAGTTTAGAGTTGGTTTTAAGTTGTATCGTAATTGTATCAGAATTGTGTAAGAATTCTTTCAGGATTGTATCAAATTTGTATTTGAATTGTATTTGATGCATCAATACATGAAAGAATACTTGATACAATACTGATACAAGTATAATACAATCTTGTGTCAGAATTATATTAGTTTTTAGAGTAGTAACGTGTATAGGTAGAAATTTTTCAGATTCAGTGATGGATCTTCAAAATTGTATAGGATCGAAAATATTTCCGTACAAAAAATAACCATTTCTTTGGTTCCATTTCTATGGCGAGTATGACTTCTTTTTTGGTTCAAGACTTTTTTTGTCCATTTGTATTTTTCTTGTGGTTTCTTATACCAGAAGTGAGTATCTTGTATAGAGTTTTCGAGAAATTGGAAGAAAAAATTTAGTGAAATAATATTGGAAGAAGAAGTTGTTTCCAGATCTGCGTAAAAGAAAAGGGAGGGAGGGGAGTAGAGAAAAAAAAGAAAAGGATACAATTCAATCCCTTAATTGAAGGTGCTAATAATGGGGTGAGAGCTTTTTAAGGAGGAATACATATAGTTTGTAAAAAAATCTAAATACTTTTTGAAAACTACAAAACCTAGAGAAAATAGATAAATAAATTTCTATTATAGTATACATAGAAAAATTGTATCCAATTTTGGCACCTATTTTGATCTCTAGAGTCCAAAAGGTAGCTACTTAGGTTCCGGACACGTAAATTTTGGTACCCCTTAACCCAAGCCCAAATTAATGGGCTAGCTGGCTGAAACAACTGTACTTCAAATTCGAAGGGCTTTGTGCCGTAAATTCCTCACCGAACCCACAGTCCTCTGCTCATCCCATCATCTTCGGCAGCAGCTGTCTAATCCTTCTTGGTATTGGATTCGGTGTCCTTATTTGTGTTGATTTTGGATGCCAAAATATGCGAAATTTATATAAATATAGGGCTAATGTCTACTCTAACATACTTTTTGTTTAATGATTCAGCGTTCTCAGGTTGAACTAGGCTAAAAGTTTGAGGTATGTCTTCCACTGAACTTTATTCCTTTTCTTTTTATTTCTTCTTCCATATTCTGTCGTTGCTAATTTGTTTTCTATTGAAAGTACAATTCTCTGAAATATTGTCCCATGATGCCTGGTAATTGGTGAGTCAATTCCCCCTATTGTCATTAGGGTTTTAGAAATTGCTCAAGAAAGTCACTTTTTTTTTAGGACAATAAAATGGTCACTACTAAAACTCTCTCGCTAAAATTATTTGTCATGTCATTTAAAATGCCTATTTATACAAGACCTATTTTTTAACCCACAACAATTCGATTCAAGATCCAAAATGTATGTTAAATCACTGTTTTTCAAGGAGCACTTTCAAAAGGTTATTATGATAATGGTCATTAAGGCAATATAAGATTTAGTAGTAATTAGGAAAGATTATTACCATAGCGGAAGGTTTTGTCAGTTCCGACAAGCCATCCCATTAATCGAAGTCCTGTGATATATAATTTGAAGCTTGACCTCTAATGAACAAAAAGCTAGTCAAACTTTCAGATATTTAGACCGACGAAATAAAATGACAAATTAAAAAGAAAAAAACTTGTTTTGCTGGGTTGGAATGACAATATATTGATAAGATTCTAAATTTCTTATATCTTAAAATGAATATGGAATATCTTTAAAAAACTTTCTCAAAGCACTAACAAGAAATAAGAATGTCAGTCACAGATCAGTGGAACTAGTACTTTGATTGAAAATTATTTATGACCATCTTTAAAAGATGGTCACAATTAAGGAATAAAATTGAGAAAAGTGAGTTATTTTTGTATAAATAAGCATTTTAAATGACATGATTATAGTGAGATAGTGTGAATAGTCATCTTTTGAGATATAAAGGCAAATATCGATGTTTTTTCCGTCCTAAGAAAAACAAAAGTGACTTTCTTGTGTAATTTTTATAACATGAATGACCAGGAATTAACTCTCCAATTGGTATATGGTTGACATATGGTTGACAGTAAACATTACTCTTAATAAGAGAAACTTGTTTATTTTCCCCTTATTTTCTAACTATGATCACTGATCTCCTCTATTTTTCTTGATACAAAAAAGGTAAGAGGACTATAAACTTGGAATGCTTGTCCTTAATCTATTACCTTAAGAGGGGTTCCGGAAAATAATAGAATAATTAAGTAATTTATCAGTTTCGTTCTATATGAAGTACGAGTTGATAAAACTTCAAATATTTTTGTGTTATGCCTTGTTTAGGGGTTCAAGCTGAGTGGAAGAGAAGAAGTCTAGCGTCATTATGATGACCATATTAACGTCCAGTTCAATATTCCTTCTAAAGGAAATCATATTTGAGATGTTGAGCTATTTGCCAGTCAAGTCATTGCTAAGATTTAAATGTGTATGCAAGCATTGGAATGCTACAACTCAAGATTTTCAGTTTATTTGCCTTCATTTTAAGCGTTGCCCTGTGCTAATTAACAAAAAGCCGCTAGAGATAGAGAGTTATGCAACCGGATTCATAATCTTATCTACAATCGGTTTAATATTGGAGTACCTTATTTGCTGGGTCGCCTCTTCTCCTAATTTTATTTACCGCATAAGAAATCCTGAAATGCATCAAATTCTTGAAATTCCGGATTCACAAAATCCTATCTTGAACATGCACATGGTGGTGGACACAGATAACCAACTCTTGAAGTTACTCTCTGTAATTCATGTAATTGGAGACCCAGGATTGCCGCTCGGTTATGAGGTTCTTGATCTTCGGAATGAAGAAGGTACCTATTCGTGGCAAACCCTTGACTTGCCGAAGGAGAGCCGAGGAGAAACTACAATATTGCAGAACCGAATTTGTAGGCATAGCACCCTGTTTAAAATTGTCGATGCAATAGGAACTGCTTACAGCATGTGGGATACAACTAATTCCCATATAGGAATTGATATTGTGGATATGGTGAATGACAGCTACATTGGTCATACTACTTTTCCTAACGGTTTCTACTCAAAGGATGATTGCATACTTTGGAAGCGAAAGCTGTCATTCGCTAAAGTTGTAAAAGATGAAGTTCATGTCATGGTGTTAGAAGATTATAACAAGCAGCAGATCAAATGGGCTGAAGCAAAACTAATCATTAAGCTACCTTTCTTGAAAGAGGTTGTGCAAGAACAGATAAAAGTTTTAGTAGGTAGGAGATCTAAGTTGTGCTTTTCTCGGTGGAACTGGGACAAAAAATCTATCTGCACTTATGACTTTAAGACGGGGAAGGTAACAACTATAGTGTCCAGCTGCAACAACTCTGACCTTTTTGAGTTCATCACGCCTTGCCTTTTTGCTTGCAAAGGAATGCATGCAGATCGTCTTGTCAGTAATTAGTTGTAATATGCTTCCAGCTTGCTGTTGGGATGAGCATTTGTTTCAACACTATTTCGATACACTTGCCTCATAATTATTTCTTACTTTGAGCTAATTAAGCTTTTTAATGTTATGCTGATTTTTGATAAATTAGATTCCTTTTAAGTTTTATGAGAGATTGTCATACTTTATAGATTATGATGACGATGATGATATGGATGGATGGAGTCAGTTTGGAGTGTTATAGTTTTGCACGTTTCATCAATCATGAAATTATTTACAAATTTAAAAGCTCTTGAAACAATAGGAAAAGAGTAAAGAAAACAAAAACAAAGGATTGCATCTTTTTCCTCATGTCTGTGTTGGTATGTATTTTTCTTTTTCTCTTGTTTTTATTTATTTCCTTGTATCCGCTCAATCATGATGGGGATTCTTTTATTCTAATATACAGATTCTTTTTTTTTTTCCTCGTAGTGTTGGATTTGTTTTAGCCTTTTAGGTTAACTATCTGCTTCTCTTTGTTTATGTTTGAAACATGCTATCTGCAATAGCGAGTCTATTACTCAAATGGTCACACGACTATCTGAAATTATCTTATAAAATCATCTTTCTTTCGTTTGTAATAGCAAAGTCACTTAACTATGCATATAACACTTAGAAGACCATTCAACTAGATTTCCCAAACTTTTGATTGCTAAATACCTATGTTACCCTCTAAATTATCAACTTTTGTCTTCTTTTTATTATTTTTTTAACTTTTTAATATTATAATTTTTCTCTTTTTAATTTATATTATGGACTTACCTATAGAATAAATTAAATTTTATTTAGAAATTTTTAAAATAAAAATAGTAATTAAGCATATATAATGTTGGAATAATAAAATGTTGAGTATAGTAAAAAAATTAATTAGTACAATTTATTCGTAATAATAATTTTGATATTAACAACAAAAACTAAAAAAATTATTCACATAATTGAGAATTAAAGAAAACAAAAGTTTTATAATATATATATTCCATGCATGTAATATAAAAAATAATTATTTAAAATAAAGGTATTTTTATAATATACATTATATATTCTTGAATATTATGCTCAAGTATATTATTATTCCGACATTATATATGATAGAAAATTAATTATTTTTATTTTATAAATAAAATATAGTTGTTCTATAGGTAAGTCCATAATGTAGATTAAAAAGAGAAAAGATTATAATATTTTAAAAAGTAAAAAAAGAAAAGAAAAGGAAGAAGATAAAAGTTAATAATTTAGATGATAAAATAGGTAGTTGACAGTTAACAGTTTGAGAAATCTGGTTGAGTGATATTATGGGTGTTATAGGCATAGTTAAGTGATTTTTCTGTTACAAACGAAAGAAAGATGACTTTAATAAATAATTTTCATATAGTTGAATGACCGTTTAAGTAATAGACTCCTGCAATAGCTCTGGAAGCTATTTATCAATTTGTTATCACTAAATGGTTGCAGAAGTAGTTATAAATGATAATTTCTATATTTTATTACTACTTATAACTTTGTCAAGAATTTCAAAGGTTCTCTGAATATAGTATTCTAGATGAAATCACCCTTAGAAGATAATAACTTTGTGTTCTCCAGTAAGTTGACTACTGTTATGTTTTTGTAACGACCCGGCCGGCCGTTTTGAATATTATAATATTGTTCCCCTATTTACTGCTTAATTTATATCTTGTAATTGATTTATGACTTATCGAGTTAGTTGGTTCGGGTCCGGAAGGAATTCGGAATGAAATGAGACACTTAGTCTCATAATTGAAAATTTAAGTTAGAAAAGTGGACCGGATATGGACCTATATGTAAATTACATCGGATTTGAATTTTGATGATTTCAATAGCTCCATATGGTGATTTGGATTTAGGAGCATGTCCGGAAAAATATTTGGAGGTCCGTAGAGGAATTAGGCTTGAAATGCCAAAAGTTGAATTTTTGGGAAGTATGACAGAGGGGTTGACTTTTTGATATCGGGGTCGAAATCCGATTCCGAAAATTTTAATAGGTCTGTTATGTCATTTATGACTTGTGTGCAAAATTTGAGGTCAATCGGATGTGATTTGATAGGTTTCAGCGTTTTTTGTAGAAATTAGAAATTTTAAAGTTCAATAGGCTTGAATTGGGGTGTAATTCATGATTTTAGCGTTGTTTGAGGTGATTTGAGGATTCGACTAAGTTCGTATGATGTTTTAGGACTTGTTGGTATATTTGGTTGAGGTCGTGAGGGTCTCGCGTGAGTTTCGGATGGTTAACGGACCAAATATTGAACTATAACAACTGTTGCAATTTCCTTTTGCTGGAAATTTCTTCTGCCAGATTCGAGCCTAGAAATCTCTCAGAATCGAGCCCAGAAATCTCTCAGAATCAAGCCCAGAACCTCCCAGAATCGAGCCCAGATCGAACCTAGGGTCGAGGGCCACGATCGAAGCCATGATCAAGCCCAGGGTCGGGGGCCATGGTCGAAGGCAGGGTCGAACACATGATCGAAAGCCAGGGTCGAGGGCCATGATCGAAGGCCAGGGTCGAGGGCCGATCAAGGATCAGGATCGATGCCACGATCGAGGCCCAGGATCGAGGCCCAGGATCGAGACCCAGGATCGAGGACCTCGATCGAAGGCTAAAATCAAGGCAGAACCGAGGTTGTCTGGGCAGAATTATAAAAACAGGGACTTCGTCCCATTCGCCATTTTTTGACAAATTGGAGCTTGAGGATAGGCGATTTTCGATATATTTTCAAGGAAAACTTGAGGTAAGTCCCTTGTGATCATTTCTACTCCATAATGTTGAATTATCATTGAACAATCCGACTAGATTATATGATTTTGAGGTGTAAATCGGAGATTGGAACTTAGAAATTTGAAAATAAGATTTGTAGATTTGAGGGTCGAGTTGAGGTCAGAATTTGGTAAAATTAGTATGGGTAGACTCGTGGTTGAATGCGCTTTCGTATTTTATAACTTTTGTCAAGTTCCGAGACGTGGGCCCCACATGCGATTTTTGAGCTAAAATTTGAATTTTTATGGAAAATTAGCATTTTCTTATGGAATCAATTCCAATAAATTTTATTGACTGAAATGAATTATTTGTGACTAGATTCGAGGCATTCGGAGGCCGATTTGCGAGGCAAATGCATAGTAGAGTAAAGAATTTCACGCTCTGAGGTAAGTAACAGTTTTAAATCTGGTCCTGAGGGTATTAAACCCCGAATTTTGGTATCATGTGATTATTTTGGAGGTGACGCACATGCTAGTGCACCGAGGGAATTGTGACTTGGTCCGTCCCGGGAAATTATAAAGTTGAATAATTTGTTGTTAGCTATATGCTCTCTATGTGTTGATAAAATTTGACGGTAAATCATGTTAGAAATCATGCTTAGGCTATGTGATAGTACTGTTGGGACCCACAGAGGTCGTGTACTTGTTGAATTGCCTGCTAAATGCTGTATGTACTCAGTCTCAGCTTTTACTTTCACATTTTATCTCAGTCTTTGTTATTATTATTGATACATCATATCATTGTTGTATGGCCTGATTTCATGATTATTAAGAGCCCGAGAGACTGGAGAGATTTATGACTGAGTGAGGCCGAGGGCCTGATTGTGATATATTGATACTATAACACGTGAGTTGTCCGTGCAGTACGTGAGTTGGCCGTGCAGATCCTTATATTATACTATAGCACGTGAGTTGGCCGTGCGGATCCTTATATTATACTATAACACTTGAGTTGGTCGTGCAACACGTGAGTTGGCCGTGCAGATCCAGATATTTATATTATGGCACGTGAATTGTCCGTGCAACACGTGAGTTGTCCGTGCAGTTTATAGCGCTTGAGCTGTAGGAGCCCCTCCGGAGTCTGTACACCCCCAGTGAGCGCGAGTACCCATTGAGAGTGAGTGATGAGGGCTGGGAGCCCAGGGAGTGATGAGGGCTGGGAGCCCAGTGAGTGATTGTTGTCCTAAGAGGTTGTACTTGATTTTCATTTGTTGTTGCACTTAGTTGCTATCTGTCATTGTTGTGAAATCTCTGAAAGATTGTTGATATACGGATTACATGAACAGGAACTGTATAAAAATTGATTTGACATTAAACTGCCAGATTTGATAGCATGTCTATTCTTTGCTGGAATTACTGGAAATGAACCATAACTGTGTAGCTCGTTACTATCTTCAGTTCCTTATTTATTATTGTTACTTGCTGAGTTGGTTGTACTCATACTACACCCTGCACTTCGTGTGCAAATCCAGGTGTTCCCGGGCATAGTGGGTATTGATCCTTTCGCGCGGTTGATTTTCAGGAGATTTTGAGGTAGCTGCCATATTCCGCAGATATTGTCTCTCCTTCTCTATCTCTTTGTTTACTGTATTTGGTCTCAGACTATTATAGACTATATTTTGCAGACTTGTATTCATATTAGATGCTTATGTACTCAGTGACACTGGATTTTGGGGAGTGTTCATATCATTAGTTGTGAGATTTTATATTGTATTAAATTATTGTATTTTCAAACTCAAGAGAAATTGTATTTTATCGAGATTATCGGCTTGCCTAGTATCGAGATAGGCGCCATCACGACAGGTTGGGATTTTGGGTTGTGACAAGTTGGTATCAGAGCCTAGGTTACGTAGGTCTCACAAGTCATGAGTAGGTTTAGTAGAGTCTTGCGGATCGGTACGGAGACGTCTGTACTTATTTTCGAGAGGTTGCAGAACTGTTAGGAAATTTGCACTTTCTTGTATGAAAATAGGTATTCTGGAGACCAGTGGGGTCTCATTCACTACTTTTCAATTTTCTGGGGCTGCACTCAGATGGTGGGAGTTACACCACCCGCCCTACCATCTCGGGGTGGGGGTCAGGCAGCTAGGGGTCGCCCAAGAGGAGGAGGCCGATCAGGTGGCGGGCATGCTCGATTCTATGCTTTTCCTGCCAGGCCAGATGTTGTTGCCTCCGACACTGTGATCACAGGTATTGTTTCAGTGTGCCACAGGGAGGCTTCTATATTATTTGACCCTGGTTCTACTTATTCATATATATCATCGTATTTTGCTCATTATCTGGATATGCTATGTGAGTCCTTAGTTTCACATGTCTGTGTATCTACACAGGTGGGCGATATTATTACTGTGGATCGTGTGTATCGGTCGTGTGTAGTAACTATTGGG